ATGCCCATAATCCCAGCTTTCGGGAGTCTGAGGTGGAAGATTGCCAGGTTGAGCCCTGCCTGGGCTCTTTAGTGAGTCCCTGTCTCAAAAGACAAAAACTGAAGAAAAACACCAATTATGTTCATGGTCCTGACTATTCTGGGTAACCCACTCCCTCAACATTTCCCCTCTACTTTCTTTTAAAATTTTTATTTAGAATCAATCACATGTGTTTGAAGGGGACGGAGAGGGGGAGCATGAACAGAGGTGCCCAAAAAGGCAAGAAGGAGGTGCCTGATGCCTGGAGCTGGAGCTCTAGTCAGCTGGAAGCTGGTAATTGAACTTGGGTCCTCTCCAAGGGCCGTAGACACTCTCCATCAGTGAGCATGTCTCCCTCCATAAGATGCACAATCCTCAGTCTGCAATAGCATCTTGCACTGTAGACTGCCCAGCCATCCCAGGCCTCCTTCCCATACTCTTACACTACAGCTTCCGCAGCGAGGGCACAGAACTCATGATAGCTGACTTCTACAGATGAATAAAAGGCCCAAGTTCTACCCAAAGTACCCTGGTGAAGTTTTCAGGAGCACCATTGTAGGGATGATCCCAGCAGTCCCCACAGGCTAATCCTGGCACAGATGCTGCTACTCTTGAGACAACTAATACCTCTGCCTCAGACCTTTTCCAGGTGAGATGAAATTGTGATAGATGTAAAGAGTGCCACACTCAAAGCTCCAGGTGTAACAAGTTATTTTTGAATGCAGAAGACCAAATGACCCTTATCACCCCAATATCCCATGCCCTGGGTCCCCATGGGCTCACTGCATCCATGTTAGGTTTATTCTCCTCCTCTGGGACTTTCCTATCCTCCCCTGGCTTCAAGATGAAGCCCCAACTCATGGGTGTGTTGCAAATCCAATTCCTCTGCTTCCTTCTGCCTCATCTCACGTCTCCCAAGCATCTCCACAAACCTAGAAGTCCATAGTTCTTCATGGGAGTCCAGATCTCTGCTCATACTTCTCTTTACCTAGAGTGCCTCAGTTCTCTCCACGCCCCTCGATATGGGGCTCCTGGAGATGCTCGCTGTAAGAGTCCACCCCCTCTCTTCTCACACCCATCACCACCAGCCAGTGTCTTGGGTCACTCCTGCCTCGACTACACAGACCAGGAGAGCAGGACCCGTTTGCCATCTCTCTCTGCAGCTGTTCTTAGTACCTGCTCAACAAGAAATGAGTGTGCATTGCACCCCAGGCAATAACGAGTCACAGGTTAGTCAGTAAGCAAGAAAGCTTCCTCTGCCTCAAGGCACTAAACTGCTGAAGCCAGTCTAGAGCCCCGTTCCCGCCACTGTTCTCTGGCTGTGTCTTTCCGCACACACCGGGCTCACGCGAGGCTATGGTTTGGCTTCTGTCTCCACTCACGGGCTGTGGAAGAGGGTTTCCCCGAGACCTCCTGTGGAAAACCGGGAGCTTTAAGAGCACCACAAAGTCTTCTTTCATGGAAGATCTATAGGAAAACATCTCATTCATAAGGATGGGCACAGAGGTCTAAGGGCGTTGCCACGGGGTTCAGGAACCTCGCCCAGGTGCCAGGGCTTATGTCTCTGTCCCTAAGGTGATGAAATTCCAAGAAAGGCCAGATTCACCCTGAAAGTGTTATGGTTTCAGGATGAGAGAGGAGCCTACCCTGCTCCTTATGGACCACAGTAGATCATGTCATGGGTCACTATCCCTTGCCCTCTCTATGTTCATTGCCCTTTCCCATAAATTTTGGAAATCCATGCACTAAAAAGGCTGATAACATTTTCCAGTCCTTGACTTTTGAGTTTGGCCATGTGACATACTGTAGCCAATAGAACAAGGCCAAAGTAACAGTGTCCCATTTCTGAGCCCTGGCCTCAAGAGCCCTCACTTCTTGGTGCTGGCCCTCGAACAAGTTTGACATTCTTTGAGAAGACTACGCCCACTCTAGCCCACTGCTTCCAGGAAGGAGAGAACTAGGCTAGGACAACCGGGCCTAGACTCTACCCCTCATCACACTCAGATGCACAAATGCATCTGCAGAGGTACAGGTGAATGTAAGCAACCTTCAGGTGACCTGCAGATCCATAAGAGGAAATGACTGCTACTTTGTGCCATGGATCTTTCTCTCCCATCACACACACACACACACACACACACACAGGATGGGGGGGGGGAGAAATACAACCCTCTGAGTCCATTCAGTGTTACTTATATGTATATGTGTTTAGTGCTAACCATTTGGGACTAGATAACCTATCGGGGAGTTATACCTGGTGAAGACTGAGTCCCCCTCTCTTAGCAGCCATTAATCGCCTATAGCTCTTCATCCTGGGCTGGGGCCTGGCTTGCTTCCATCCACACTGGGATGTGAATGGGCGTTGTCATTGTGTGGGTCTTGTTCAGGTGGCCATATTGGTAAGATGTCACAGGTACTACTATCACAGCTTAGGTTTTCTGTCCATGCTTCAACAGCACTCTCAGAGGCCAGCAATGGAAGCAACTTACGCCAAAAGTTCTTTTCTGACCACGATCCTTGAGTTTTCCATCTTGCGACACAGAAAGCACAGTTCACAAATGGCTAGCAAGGGTGCCAGAGCTTTCCTAGCAATGCTTAGCCATGGATCAAGTGAATATTTTCCTACCACATGAAGTCTTCTATGATCCAAAATAAACCCCAGCATTTACAGTCTAGCTCAACATAAAAAGAAACTCGTGTATTTTCCCTAAAACACTTTTTTGGAAGACATACCTAAAATTAAAATGAATGAGCTGATAATTTATGAACCTTCTTTAAAATTGATGTCTCTAACCACCCCGGAGGCTCTTCTCCCTGTTAAACAGCCCCATTATCCACTCTCCGAGTCTAAAGCAATTTCCTCAGCTTAGGAAAGCATGTGCTACTTGAAGCCACCTCTACAGGGTGAAACCAGAGGCAGTTAGCATCTAAGACTTGGGGAGAATGTTTGTATGTGCACACCGTGGGGAGGGGAGGGGGCTGGGACAGTATGTCACAACAAAAGAACTGGAATCTTAGTGTGATTTTCCTTTGATGAGTAAACTGTTATGAAATATTAAAAGTGTGGGGACCGAGGCTGCACCTCAGTGGATGAAGTGCTCCTCACGCAGATATGAGGGCCTGCAGTTTGTTTCCAGGACCCACATAAGAAGCTAAGCTTGGCGGTGTGCACTAGTCATTCTCACACTGTGAAGGTAGGGACAGGTGATCACAGGGCCTCACCTGGCCAGCCAGTTTAGACTAATTAGTTAGCTGTTCCAGGTTTCCAGGGTCACAGGCCAGTGAGAGAAACCCATCCCTGAAAATGGCACGTGTGACTTGACCTCTGGATCCACAGGCACACATGTGAATGCATACTTCCCTACACCCACACCCACACAGAAAAGTGACAGGGTCAGGATCCACGGGCACACATGTGAATGCATACTTCCCTACACCCACAC